CAATGATGGTGCCAACTTGGGTCAGTGAAGCAACGTCCTCCACAACTAGACTGAAGAACGAAATGACAGCAACTTGTCTGTTCCCCTTCCCCCAATTCCCCAGCACTGTCCCCACCCCCCCAATACCCCAATAAAAAATCTTTAAAAAAAAAGCAGTTTCCTGGGGCCCCACCCAGATGGAACCATCCAGAATCCTGCGGGAACTGAACCCCTGAAATGTCACTTTTAACATGCTCCCCTGGTGATGTTGGAAAACATTTAGTATGTCTCCAAAAGCATCCAGCGCTCATGGAGGCGAGAGTTTCTTATTCAGGAGGATTCAGCCTCTGTATTCTGGACTTAAGAACTTTGTGCAAGGCTGAGGCTCTGTAATCTGAGCCGCTAGCCTCCCAGCTGAGCACCCTAGGGCTCCTGTCATCCCCGCAGGAACTTCCCAGCTCATCCCCTACAGCACACAGAGAACACGAGGCTCCTGGGGTCGGGGGACATCTCACTCCCCAGCTCATGTTCCTCCAGAGGAATTACTGTCTGAACAAGGATCTGAAACTCATGGCCCCTAGGTGAGATGTGGCCCAAACATCCTTTAAAAAATCTAAATTCCCTGCCAACATTAAAAAATCAGGACGGGGGCCGGCCGAGTGGCGCGATGGTTAAGAACTGGCTTGGGAAGCCAGAGGGCCCGGTTCGGATCCCACATATGAGGGCCAGTGACAGTGCCCTCCACAGCTAAGATGCTGAACAGCAGCTCAACCTGGAGCTGGGGCTGCCCTGAGTCACCGACGATGGCATAGGCTGCAGCCCCTGTGGCAGTGGGTTGCCATGGGCTACCGTGTGTAGCCAGCAGCCAGTGTGAGCGGCCCTCAAGCCGCCAGGAGCGGTGGTCCAGAAGCCGGCGACTGATTTGCCTCACCAGGGAAGAGCGCAATGATAGTGCCAACTTGGGCCAGTGAAGCAACGTCCTCCACAACTAGATTGAAGAACAAAACTGTCTGTTCCCTTCCCCCATTCCCCAGCACTGTTCCCATCCCCCCAATTCCCCAATAAAAATCTTAAAAAAAAAAATCAGGACATTTCGGGCCGGCTGAGTGGCACAGTGGTTAAGAGTTGGCTTGGAACGCCAGCTCTGAGCAGCAGGGCCCCAGTTCAAATCCCACATGTGGGCCAGTGATGCTGGGCCCTCTACAGCTAAGATGGTGAAAACAGCTCATCCTGAAGCTGGGCTGCTGTGAGTCACCGGAGCAGGCGTAGGCTGCAGCCCCTGCTGCAGTGGGCTGCGGTAGGCTACCGTGAGTGGCCCACAGCCAGTGTGAGTGGTGGGCAGCCGGTGTGAGCTGCCATGAGTCCACCATGAGCGGCCATCCAATGTCCAGCGAGCGACTGCCTCAGCTGGGAAGAACCCAATGATAATACCAACATGGGCCAGTGAAGCGATGCCCTCCACAACTAGACTGAAGAACAAAAGGACAGCAACTTGTCTGTTCCCCTTCCCCCAATTCCCCAGCGCTGTTTGCCTCCCCCAATTCCCCAGTAAAATCTTAAAAAAAAAAAAATCAGGATGTTTCACAAAAGGAAATCCAGATTTCCAGGCACTCTTGAAAAATCAGAATGTCTAGAATTCCTGCAGCATCTGAATGAAATGGCTGCGTACACTTCAGGCAGCACCAGGCCTGGGGTGAGGCACACGAGGAACTTTTCTCAAACCCAAAACCCAAAGGGGCAGGAAAAAAAAGCCCTCGCCATCATCCTGTCCTAATCCTGTCCATTCTTATAAGTTTGCAAACTCAGCCATGAGCCATATAGCAGATGGGGAAATCGAGGCCCTGTGGGTTCTTCTCCATGTACACATAGTATAGGACTCATAGTGCCTCCCTGATCCCCTCAACTGGCTACAGTAAGTGCTGAGTCTAGCAGGGCCAGTGAGGTCTCTTGTTGTGGCTACAATGTTTCCATGATGCCTTCCTGTCCTCGTCATAGAAGCCCAGACTTCCCCCCAGGCCACTGGGCCCTTGCTGGATCCCTGCTCACCTCGCTGATCCTCTTCACTTCTACCCTCCCCTCACTCCTCTCCTGACACTCTGGCCCTCAATGGGGCCTCAGGGCATTTGCTCGTGCTGTTCTCCCAGCCTGGTGCTCCATCCCAGATCATCCTCTTGGGGCTGGCCTCTACTCCACCTTCCCGTGTCAGCTTGATGTTACCTCCTGAGTCAGCTCAGCCTCCCTAATCACCCGGACTCCTGCCTCCATGTCACTTTTGTGGTCAGGTTTCCCTTATTCACAGCATAACTGATCTGATTCAGTTCTTTGTGTGTGTGTGTGTGTGTGAGGGGGGAGGTCCTCCACCTTAGTAGGTTTTGAGCTCTGAGAGGGCGGGAACCCTGGGGTTTGAGTCAGTCATTGCTGTGGGTCCAACATCCAGGACAGGGCCAGGCTCACAGTTAGTGCCTGTTACATACTAAATGAATGAATGAATGAATAAGTGAATGAATGAACAAGTGAATGGATGGTATCTCAGTTCTTCCTCTCAGTTTTTCCCTGAACCAGGCCTTATCTCTTACTGCTGAGTCACCTGCCTAGCTGGTCTGGATGGGTGGAAAGGAGGAGTGGCAGATGAAAAATCGCATGGGGTGGGTGGGGGGAACAAGGAGGAGGATGATCCCTCTCTGCTCAGTTCCCTCCGGGGTTCCCGTGAGCACCTGCAACATACCCCTTCTGCTGGGCCCTGAAGGGAAATAGCTGAAGTTCACAGAGTCCAGTCTAGGAAGGTGCCCCCAGGTAATGAGTGCAGAGTGAATGGAGAATTAAAGGCCTGAGGGAGAAGACTGAGCCAGAGCCACACAGAGCCATGCCCAGCCGAGCCCAGCCTGCTCCTGCCTCATCTCCCTTCCTCATGGCCCTCTCTCTCACCTCATCTGTCCCCTCTCCACCTGTAACATCCCCATCTCTTACCTCCCCCATACCCACAAGGCTTTCACTGCCTACCTCTCAGCTCTTCCCTTCCTCACCCCCACCCTTTACCCTCATCCCTCACCGCCCCATCCTTCATGTTCTCATCCTTTGCAGCTAGCCAGCTGACTCCCCACCCCTACCCCAAAGAAAGCGCACTAGTAGGGAATATAGGATCCATTTCTTTATTGCAGGAAGACTATTTCTAGAGTGAACACTACACAGACCCCACAGTGAGGAGTGGGGGGCACCCACATGCAGGGGGAGAAAGGGTAGGGGTGGAATCACAGCAAGCATGGCCTGGCATGGTCCCCAGACCCAGGGATCCCCAGGCAGGACAGGCCAGCAGCCAAGGCAGGCTCTGGCCCCTCCTACTGCAGAATCCCTCTGTCCCCAGGGTCGGGGCAGGGCCAGAGGTGGGAGAGGCCTGGAGGGGCAGGACCCCAGGGAGATTGTGCTATCAGGGTATGTCCCTGAGAAAGGGCCACAGACCCCTGCCCAGCCCCACCCTCTCCAGCACCTTCAAAGCCCAGGAACCACTCCCAGAGTGGGCGAAGGGGCAACACCAGCTGCTGGTGGGCCCTAGATCCTCTACAGGATAAGGGGGCTCAGCTGTGCTTAGATAGGATGCTACCAGATCTTTTGTGGGCCCATCCATGTGCCCAGTGGCTGGGCAGGGCTCTCTCTCTTTCTCTCTCTCTCACACACACACACACACACACACACACACACACACACACACTCCTTCTCTCTCATCATGAGCCCCATAAACATTTGTGAACAGTCATAAACAAAAAGAAAAACAAACACACTGTCACCAAGTTGAACACAAAGAGTCCCTCTTACCTACCTACAGTTCCACACGGCCACATGACTGGACAGCCACATGGCCTCTCTCTCTCTCTCTCACATGCACAGTTCAGTCTCAGTATGCACAAGCACACACAAGCACATACACACACAGCTTCCTCACACCCAATGCTTCGAGCTGCCCTGGGGAGAGGCCCATGGGACAGGGAGCAGAGGGCAGCTCCCGGTGACAGCTAGTGAGCAACTGAGGCCCTCGTCCAGCAACTGCAGAGGACTGAGTGCTGCCGACAACCATTCAAACTGGGAAGCGGGTCCTTCCCCAGTCAGGCCTTCAGATGAGACCACAGCCCAGGCAATACTGTTTCTGCAGCCTTGTGAGACCCTGAGCAGAGAAGCCAGCTTAGCCGTGCTCAGGTTCCTGGCCCACAGAAACTAGGAGATAACAAATGTGTGTAGTTCCAAGTTGCTGAGTTTGTGGTCATTTGATCCAAGAGCCACCTTGCTACAGAGTCAAACAGGCTTAGTGTTCCTCACACAGTGAGAACACACAGGTTCACAGATGGTGTCTGATAAATCACGTTACCTGTTCCCAAAAACACAGCCACTTAGAGTCACACTCATGTTGGTACATCCAAATATCCAGTCCTGTTGACAACCACACTACCCACCCAAACATGTACCCCATACATACACAGACTGTCACACGCACATACCACCCCAGTGATAGCCACACACACAGGTGCACACACAGACACAATCTTACACACAAACCATCGGCCCCTGAAGAGCAACTTGCACAAATACACCATCCCATGGTCACCCCCCACTCCAGGCCTACAAGTCAACTTCATTGCCAGACACAGCCCCGTGGGGCTCCACGAATGTAGAGTTATCTAGACACTCTCACAAAACCTCAGAATCTCATGGTGGCAGAGACATCCCAACTCTAGGATACACGCCTTTTTGGGGAACCCCCTCTCTGGGTGCAGGTGGTGAGTAGGCTGGACAGGGCTCTGCCTTGAGCCCCCCAGATTCTGCTGATGGTGATTCCAGTCACCTGTCTCTGGAGGAGGCCCCAGGTACCCCCTCCCAACACCTCAGCCCCTGCCCAGGGCTTGCTGATGATGCACTGTGACAATCTCTGTCTGCGAGCCGTCTCCAGGAAGGCTCCCCACATTCATGCTAAGCAGTCCTCAAAATTGTGCTGTGACCATTGGCTGGTCCTGGGCCTCCCCTGCCTGCATGCCAGGCCCAGGCTGGGTGAGGAGTAGGGTTCTGGACTGGTGGGGTGCTGCTGTGGGCCCTGTGGTTATTGCCTGGCAGCCTGAGGTCCATCCCGCAATGCCCCCTTACCCCAAGCTGTGGGGACAGAAGCGAGAGGGGTGATCTGGGGCCCCAGGCAGGGAGCACAGGCCAGAGATCATGAGGGATGGAAGTGGGTGGGCAGTGTGTATGTTAAACACCAAATAGGAGAAAACAAAATCTGAGGTCCATGTGCATTTCAACTCCCTCCTCCCCAGCTAGGTCACAGTGACCTAATGGGTGGGGATGGCACAGGTCTGGCTGGGGGCACCCAAGGCAAAGGGACAGAGATGGGGGTCCGGGTTGACATGGAGGTGGGCAAAGGTGGGGAAAACCCAGCATCCTCGGTCCCCAAGGGGACAGGCAGCTTCCCTATTTTCCCATGTGCAGATCAAGGGGACCACCTCCAGCACTTGGCCTTGGGGGGTACAGACAGAAGGGTGGAACAGAGGGACAGGGTGGAAGGATGTGACAGAGCTGGATTGGAGCCTCAGACCTGCCGCGGGCTAGAAGGGGCCTCTGTGTCCCCAGTGGGGATGTTGGATGTCAGAAAAGTAAAAGAGGTGAGAGAGGGGATGGCAGCGCTGGCTGCAGGGCGGCGTTGGGGGAGGCATGGGGTTGGGCCAGGGGCCGGGACTGGCAGCTGCGGGGCGTCCAGGGCTCACATGAGGACGCATTTGCCCTTGATGCCGTCTGTCCTCTTCTGTTTGCTGGAGTGCTTGCCATCGATGTTGAGACTCATGTTGCGGCGTGTTTCCAGCGTGAGCAGCTCCTGAAAGAGCTCCTTGACGTTGTAGTTCATCTTGGCTGATGTCTCCATGAAGGCGCACTTCCATTCCTGGGCCACGGCCTGGGCCTCACGGGTGTCCACCTCCCGCTGTGTCTCGTCACACTTGTTGCCCACCAGCATGACGGGGATGTCCTCCACGCTGCCCTTGATCTGCACGATGAGCTGGTAGATGGGCCCCAGCTCCTCCAGCGACTGCTTGCTGGTGACAGAGAAGACCAGGATGAAGGCGTGGCCCTTGGAGATGGACAGCCGCTGCATAGCTGGGAACTGGTGGCTGCCTGTGGTGTCGGTGATCTGCAATGTGCACACACTCTTGTCGCAGCTGATCACCTGCCGGTAGGTGTCCTCAATGGTGGGGATGTAGGTGTCTCGGAATGTGCCCTTCACGAAGCGCAGCACCAGCGAGCTCTTGCCCACACCACCTGCGCCGAACACCACCACGCGGTAGTCATTACTCTGCTCAGGCATCTTTCACTCCGGGGTGGGGGTCCTTGCCAGCTGCCAGAACCCCAGGCCGACCCTGTACAGAGAGGAGTGTCAGACACAAAATGCCACCTGGCCAGGAGGGGCCAGCTCCAGGCCCAGGGAGCAGGAGGGGCAGCTTCTCAGAGGAGGTACCACTTCTCCTGCATCCTGGGAAGGGCCTTCTGGATGATTGGGCTGACATTGCAATTCTGCCCTGCATGTAGGCTCAGAGCCAGCTCCCTCTGCTGGCTCCCCGCCCCCCCACACACAAAATCTGGGGCCTAGGCTCCTTCCCAGGGGACTGTGGGCTGGCAGAGGCGTGGAGATGAATCCTTCCCCACCTGCATGCTCCCCAGGCCCCCAGACTGCATCAGCTTTTCTCTCTATTCCTAGTGTGGCCATGGGCTCCCCCAAGCCAGCAGGCCTGGCTCTGTGACCTGGGAAAGCTTCTCTGCCACTTGAGGTTCCCCCTCTACATAGTGGGTGACATGGTGCCTCCCTCCAACAATGACAGGATCCCTGCTCTCCTCCAGCCCAGAGGCTCCTCAACCTCGTGGGAGTCATGTGGTAGGGCATATTTAAAGTACAGCTTGCAGGGCCTCAGCCCTGGAAATGATGAATCAGTTGGCCCAGGGCCACGGCCCTGGGAACCTGAATTTTCAAGCCACTCTCCTGCCCTCATCCCATAAGTGTGACCCTAATGCTGGAGGTCCAAGAATCCTAATTTGCAGATCGTGGCGCTGATTCGGGACAGCAGTCCTGGGAGGCAGGGATGCACAGTCCAGGTTGGAGATGAGAAAATGAAAAATGAGGCCAAAGAGAAAACTCTCCACTCCCTAAACTCTGCACCCTGACCATGGTCTGCCTGCCCTGGCCTCCTGTTCAGGTCCAAGGTATCCATAGACACAGAACTCCCTAGGAGGGAGTCCTCGTATCATCTTTCCCTCTCCTATGCTCAGAGAGTTCCAGTGGCCTCAGGAGGTCACACAGCACAGCAATTCCTGAAATAATGGAAGTGGAGGAGGAACCCCAGGCTGGGGGTGGTGGGGGGAGGCAGGAGGCCTAGCTCCAGCATCCACGTAGTTATTAACAGACAGCAGGAGAGACCCCCTTCCCTTCCTCCTTCCCAGCAGTCTCTGAGGGTCCCTCAGTACAGCGGGTGGTCTACAGTGGGAGAGCAGACAGGATAAGATTGCATCTCGGCCAAGTTCCTTCCCTTAGGTATCTGTGTCAGGTGTGTGTATGTCCAGAGATGTGAGCCTGGTGGCAGGAACGTGAGCAGGTAACTTGGTGTCCCTGAGCCTCAGTTTTCTCTGTGAAACATGAGCAGTCGCAGTGCCCACTCCCTGGAGTTGCCAGACGAGAGTGTGACAAGCTGGAGAAAGCCCTGAGGCAGGTGCCTGGCACATGGGAGCCCTTGCTAAGGATGGATAATCAGGATTATTGATCACAGGGGGTCAGGGTGTGAACCTGTAGTGGGCTGAGAAGGCATGTTCGGAATGATCAAAGGTAACAGGTTTGTCAGAAAAAGATATACAACGAAAGTCACAGCAGGCACATACCCCACAAATTATGTGCCAGCCAAACTTTCAGGAGCTTTAACAGTAGTAACTCAAAGTTGACTGCTAGCATGGGAGGACTTTGGGTGGGGGCTGGTGAGGGGTGCCAGCCAGCTCTGCAGTCACTGCCTTTTCCTGGGTGGGCACACGGTGTGCAGCCAGGCACTGCCATGACTGGCCTGGGACCCAGGGTGACAGGTGACAATCACCTGCCATCCCAGACCCAGCCCTGGCCTTGCTCTGCGTGCAGACCCCCTGGCAGGGCTCCAGGCCCATCAGCAGGGGTGTCCTCCAGGAGGGGCCTGCTGGGGTCTGGGATCTCTAACTAGGAGCCCCCATTCAGTAACCCCCAGTCCATGCCAGGCATCCACCTGGTGCTGTTGGAAAACCACCCTAACCTCCTGCAGAGTTGGGGGGGGGGTTTCTCAGGCACCCATGCTTGGAGAGGGGAGGCACTGGCTCAAGGTCACAGAGCAGAGAGGTGGCAGGGCAGAGCAGGATTTGAACCAGCCCTGGTTGGCCTCAAGGCCTGGGGTCTTCCCTCTGTGCAAAGCAGCCCACCCTGAGGCTCCTCATTAGGGAATCAGCCCAGCCCTTGGTCCCTGGAGCCCAGCGCCAGGAGGTTGCAGCCACATCAGGTGCAAGAAAGCAGGCCTGACCCTCGGGAGGGCATGGGGGGACAGGATGCTTGCCCAAGTTGGGGGGTGGTCTGACCAAGGGACTATGTGACTAATGAGGGGCTTGGTGAGAGAGAGCCTGTTCTAAGGGCCTGAGAGACAGGAAACACACGGGGTTGGGGAGCAGCCCAGAGGCTCCCCTTGGCTGGAGGAGAATCTAAGTGGTGGGGGAGGGAGTTGCCAGGGAGGGTCTCCAGAGTGAGGAGCTTGGCTTGGCCCAGCGGGCAGGAGGGCTGTGCAAGTCACGGAGAGGGGAGACGGGCCCAAGGCCCAAGTGGCGCCTCGTAGAAGGGCCCTGGCTTAGCGGGACCGACCAACCATACAGGGGGGCTGAGGGGCACTGGGGAGGGTCTGGCTTGGCCCCAGGGCGCCCTGTGGGTACCGTGGGGGAGGGGAGGATGCTGTCCAAGGTGGGAGCGGAGGACGGTAGGAGCAGGGTGCTGTGGGCTGGGGAGAGGTTCCGGGTGGAGGGCCCCGCCGGGAGGGTGGGGCTCGTACAAAAGAGGGGCACGCAGGGAAGGGCCCCGCGGGCTGCGCGGGTGGGATGCACCAGGCCCACGCCCCGGCCCCCGCCCCGGTCCCAGCCCCGGTCCCGGCCTCCTACCTGGGCGCTCGTCCCTGAGGCGCCGCCGCGGCTGCTGCTGGCCGGCTCGGTGTTCGCTCCGGCGCCGCC